TACGATCCAGTGCTTGTCCACGCCGTATATAAGATATATAATAAGATAGTTAGCTGTATATAATATATTATCATCTGAAAGAAATATATCAAGAAAATATTATTTTTACGGTTAAAATTATTTGGTTCGATTTTTGTGCAGCTTTATTAAATATTTAATTAAAATTTAATGTAGTTTTAAAATATACACAAGCCCTATTTTTTTGCATAGGGATTTATAGTTGTTTACACATACAGCTAAAAATCGTGTATTGTCAAGACATCTAAAAAAATCCATACTGCGGAAATACTCAAATGAAAGCCATAACCAAAGAGATCGTAAAGATAAAAATAAAAGTTTTAAAACATCAAAAACTGGAACAGGACATAATCCCTTTGTTAACCATTTTTCTAAGCAAAATAGGACATTTGTCTATAAGGCAGAGGAAATAAGAGTTCACTTTTTGTGACCCTAAAATGTGAAGGGGCAGTGTAGTCAGTTTTAAGCCCAGTCGTCTGAAACTCATCAGGGTCGTCTGGGCTCAATGACGTACCACGGTCTCAAACCTGGGATTCGAATACGAGACTTCCAATGCGAATGCAAAGGATATTATCCAATTTTCTTTTTACCTTTTTTTTATTTCGACGTATTCATATTTATAATTTTTAAATTTCTTATATTTGCCTTCTGGTAGTGGTAGGCTTATAGGTTACGGAAAATAGATAAGTTAAGTACTGTAATCGTGCAAAAAATCGAAATCGAGTCGAATTTTTTGTTGTTGCAATCTTGTATTTGAAAAGAATTTCAAACTATGATAAAATGCCCAAGTTAAATCAACCACATCAAGTCATCCAGATCAGGCGCATCGTTTAAAAGAGACAAACATATCGCCACAGAACGGCAATCACAGTTCATTCAATAAAAACAAACGTCCCTTTCGCGGCGGGGCCTGGGTTCTGTTAATCTGTGTTTCAGATTCATCTTTGCACAATAGTCCCCAGGCACCCTACCCCCCCCCATTTGTATAGCAACATTTTTTGTTTTGTTTTAATGCATTACTGGAGTCAAAACAGTGTTAAGAAAAGATCTTGTTATTTTCTTAGATCCTCTTGATGGTGGATGTTATGTCTAGCCTGTAAGCTGTACATGTCTAGCCTGTAAGCTGTACATGTCTAGCCTGTAAGCTGTACATGTCTAAAGCTGTACATGTCTAGCCTGTAAGCTGTACTTGTCTAGCCTGTAAGCTGTACATGTCTAAAGCTGTACATGTCTAGCCTGTAAGCTGTACATGTTTAGCCTGTAAGCTGTACATGTCTAGCCTGTAAGCTGTACATGTCTAGCCTGTAAGCTGTACATGTCTAAAATTGTACATGTCTAGCCTGTAAGCTGTACATGTCTAGCCTGTAAGCTGTACATGTCTAGCCTGTAAGCTGTACATGTCTAAAGCTGTACATGTCTAGCCTGTAAGCTGTACATGTCTAGCCCGTAAGCTGTACATGTCTAGCCCGTAAGCTGTACATGTCTAGCCTGTAAGCTGTACATGTCTAGCCTGTAAGCTGTACATGTCTAGCCTGTAAGCTGTACATGTCTAGCCTGTAAGCTGTACATGTCTAAAGCTGTACATGTCTAGCCTGTAAGCTGTACATGTCTAGCCTGTAAGCTGTACATGTTTAGCCTGTAAGCTGTACATGTTTAGCCTGTAAGCTGTACATGTCTAAAGCTGTACATGTCTAGCCCGTAAGCTGTACATGTCTAGCCTGTAAGCTGTACATGTCTAGCCTGTAAGCTGTACATGTCTAGCCTGTAAGCTGTACATGTCTAGCCTGTAAGCTGTACATGTCTAGCCTGTAAGCTGTACATGTCTAAAGCTGTACATGTCTAGCCTGTAAGCTGTACATGTCTAGCCTGTAAGCTGTAAATGTTTAGCCTGTAAGCTGTACATATCTAGCCTGTAAGCTGTACAAGTCTAAAGCTGTACATGTCTAGCCTGTAAGCTGTACATGTCTAGCCTGTAAGCTGTACATGTCTAAAGCTGTACATGTCTAGCCTGTAAGCTGTACATGTCTAGCCTGTAAGCTGTACATGTCTAAAGCTGTACATGTCTAGCCTGTAAGCTGTACATGTTTAGCCTGTAAGCTGTACATGTCTAGCCTGTAAGCTGTACATGTCTAGCATGTAAGCTGTACATGTCTAAAGCTGTACATGTCTAGCCTGTAAGCTGTACATGTCTAGCCTGTAAGCTGTACATGTCTAGCCTGTAAGCTGTACATGTCTAAAATTGTACATGTCTAGCCTGTAAGCTGTACATGTCTAGCCTGTAAGCTGTACATGTCTAGCCTGTAAGTTGTACATGTCTAGCCTGTAAGCTGTACATGTCTAGCCTGTAAGCTGTACATGTCTAGCCTGTAAGCTGTACATGTCTAAAGCTGTACATGTCTAGCCTGTAAGCTGTACATGTCTAGCCCGTAAGCTGTACATGTCTAGCCCGTAAGCTGTACATGTCTAGCCTGTAAGCTGTACATGTCTAGCCTGTAAGCTGTACATGTCTAGCCTGTAAGCTGTACATGTCTAGCCTGTAAGCTGTACATGTCTAAAGCTGTACATGTCTAGCCTGTAAGCTGTACATGTCTAGCCTGTAAGCTATACATGTTTAGCCTGTAAGCTGTACATGTCTAGCCTGTAAGCTGTACATGTCTAGCCTGTAAGCTGTACATGTCTAGCCTGTAAGCTGTACATGTCTAGCCTGTAAGCTGTACATGTCTAGCCTGTAAGCTGTACATGTCTAGCCTGTAAGCTGTACATGTCTAGCCTGTAAGCTGTACATGTCTAAAGCTGTACATGTCTAGCCTGTAAGCTGTACATGTCTAGCCCGTAAGCTGTACATGTCTAGCCCGTAAGCTGTACATGTCTAGCCTGTAAGCTGTACATGTCTAGCCTGTAAGCTGTACATGTCTAGCCTGTAAGCTGTACATGTCTAGCCTGTAAGCTGTACATGTCTAAAGCTGTACATGTCTAGCCTGTAAGCTGTACATGTCTAGCCTGTAAGCTGTACATGTTTAGCCTGTAAGCTGTACATGTCTAGCCTGTAAGCTGTACATGTCTAGCCTGTAAGCTGTACATGTCTAGCCTGTAAGCTGTACATGTCTAGCCTGTGAGCTGTACATGTCTAGCATGTAAGCTGTACATGTCTAATGCTGTACATGTCTAGCCTGTAAGCTGTACATGTCTAGCCTGTAAGCTGTACATGTCTAGCCTGTAAGCTGTACATGTCTAGCCTGTAAGCTGTACATGTCTAAAGCTGTACATATCTAGCCTGTAAGCTGTACATGTCTAAAGCTGTACATGTCTAGCCTGTAAGCTGTACATGTCTAGCCTGTAAGCTGTACATGTCTAGCCTGTAAGCTGTACATGTTTAGCCTGTAAGCTGTACATGTCTAGCCCGTAAGCTGTACATGTCTAGCCTGTAAGCTGTACATGTCTAAAATTGTACATGTCTAGCCTGTAAGCTGCACATGTCTAAAGCTGTACATATCTAGCATGTAAGCTGTACATGTCTAAAGCTGTACATGTCTAGCCTGTAAGCTGTACATGTCTAGCCCGTAAGCTGTACATGTCTAGCCTGTAAGCTGTACATGTCTAGCCCGTAAGCTGTACATGTCTAGCCTGTAAGCTGTACATGTCTAGCCTGTAAGCTGTACATGTCTAGCCTGTAAGCTGTACATGTCTAGCCTGTAAGCTGTACATGTCTAAAGCTGTACATGTCTAGCCTGTAAGCTGTACATGTTTAGCCTGTAAGCTGTACATGTCTAGCCTGCAAGCTGTACATGTCTCAAGCTGTACATGTCTAGCCTGTAAGCTGTACATGTCTAGCCTGTAAGCTGTACATGTCTAGCATGTAAGCTGTACATGTCTAAAGCTGTACATGTCTAGCATGTAAGCTGTACATGTCTAGCCTGTAAGCTGTACATGTCTAGCCTGTAAGCTGTACATGTCTAGCCTGTAAGCTGTACATGTCTAAAATTGTACATGTCTAGCCTGTAAGTTGTACATGTCTAAAGCTGTACATGTCTAGCCTGTAAGCTGTACATGTCTAGCCCGTAAGCTGTACATGTCTAGCCTGTAAGCTGTACATGTCTAGCCCGTAAGCTGTACATGTCTAGCCTGTAAGCTGTACATGTCTAGCCTGTAAGCTGTACATGTCTAGCCTGTAAGTTGTACATGTCTAGCCTGTAAGCTGTACATGTCTAAAGCTGTACATGTCTAGCCTGTAAGCTGTACATGTCCAGCCTGTAAGCTGTACATGTCTAAAGCTGTACATGTCTAGCCTGTAAGCTGTACATGTTTAGCCTGTAAGCTGTACATGTCTAGCCTGTAAGCTGTACATGTCTAAAGCTGTACATGTCTAGCCTGTAAGCTGTACATGTCTAGCCTGTAAGCTGTACATGTCTAGCCTGTAAGCTGTACATGTCTAAAGCTGTACATGTCTAGCCTGTAAGCTGTACATGTCTAGCCTGTAAGCTGTACATGTCTAGCATGTAAGCTGTACATGTCTAGCCTGTAAGCTGTACATGTCTAAAATTGTACATGTCTAGCCTGTAAGATGCACATGTCTAAAGCTGTACATATCTAGCCTGTAAGCTGTACAAGTCTAAAGCTGTACATGTCTAGCCTGTAAGCTGTACATATCTAGCCTGTAAGCTGTACATGTCTAGCCTGTAAGCTGTACATGTCTAGCCTGTAAGCTGTACATATCTAGCCTGTAAGCTGTACATGTCTAGCGTGTAAGCTGTACATGTCTAGCCTGTAAGCTGTACATGTCTAAAGCTGTACATATCCAGCCTGCCATCTGTGTATAACATGAGCTCTACTTCCTCTGGCTTAAGGTTGTCAAAGTGCTTACCCTCTACACTTTGTGTAACCTCTTCATGTACCGAACACACTCGTGTTTCAATATGGCTAACGAGAACTACACACAGACATAAATAACAAACTGTAGGAAAATCTAAAGCCTGTTTGCAAAACAAAAACAGTTTTTATTTTTAATATTAAAAAAAGCAACTAATTATTAAAAACTAAGGCGCATAATAATAAAACGATGTAAAAAATATGACAGTATCAAATTTGGACAAATTTCTTGTTTTTTTCTTCCTAAAAAATAATATGTTTAAAGATTTAGATGAAGTTGAACAAAACAGCTGTTTGAACATCATTTACCTAGATTGGAAGATTTCCGTACAAACAGCGCTTTATTACGGGAATGTTACATACAAGCATTGTCATGTCAATTGTCATCTATAGATTTCAGCGATTTTAAATTTGTAACAAAAAATAGATGTAAGCATACGAACGGAAAATTTTGTAGAAATTCAAGATATAACATTTTTTACAACCGGAAATTTAGAAGTTATAAAAAAGTCACTTTTTAAAAAAAAAATTATTTACATTTATGTACTAGAGAACATTTTAAAAATTAAATTTTATGTTTAAAAAAAAAGTTTCAATTAGGCCAATTATTTACAGTAAAATATTAATAAATATATTGCAAAATACATTTAAGCTCTGAATAGAAAATGCACATTTCTTTCTTTTTAAACATTACAATTTCCTTGTACATGCATTTTTGTTTTACAGAAGAATTGCTTGTTTAAAACAGTAAATAGATGCCCGAAACACTAATTACTAAAATGAAGTTTCAAAAATAAAAGTCCCAAAAAGATTTGAACTGTTGGCTAGTGTAAATCAGCGAGAAAATACATCATTGAAAGCCATCTAAATATTTCTCCGAGCAATTTAATCTTTTCGATGATACATTTCAACATTTCAAAGAGCCATTTCAACATTTCAAGGAGCCATTTCAACATTTCACAAAAGCCATCTCAAAATCAAAGCCAGGATCATCAACATAGGTGTGAATGCTCTCAGGAGGGCACCGGCGTCTGAAAAAAAAACAAACGAGAAGTATTTTTAGAACACGATTGTCTGGAAATATGAAACCACTATCGTGGAATGAGTGAAGGAAATATTAATCACTTTTCAATAAGTCTATCTGCAGTGGTTCTTCAAGACTTTTTTTCCGGGTGTGTGTGTGTGTGTGGGGGGGGGGGGGGTTGGTGGTGGTGGTGGTGGTGGAACAACAATAATATAATAATTATAGGTATATATGTAAGGTAGAGTGGAGGTCACATAAATGTGGCATGCTAGACAAAATGAAATAAAATGTTATTTAAAGATCGAGTGTGGTGTACGTTTCTGAGTATTCAATTGTGGAGCATTTTATTATGTGTGATTTCTGCAGACGTATTTTAGGATACTGTTGTTTTATGCCTTTGGTTATTTTGAATACGTGCATATTATTGGTATAATTAAAAAAAAACTTTTACAAGTGAATAGATATACTTACTGCACTTTGACCAATTTGGCGAGCCAGCTGTTGTTTTCTTTCCAGACATGGGAGAGAGTGGGGTCGTTGATCCAGGCATTGGAGAGAGTGGGGTCGTTCCAGGCATTGGAGAGAGTGGGGTCGTTCCAGGCATTGGAGAGAGTGGGGTCGTTCCAGGCATTGGAGAGAGTGGGGTCGTTCCAGGCATTGGAGAGAGTGGGGTCGTTCCAGGCATTGGAGAGAGTGGGGTCGTTGATCCAGGCATTGGAGAGAGTGGGGTCGTTAATCCAGGCATTGGAGAGAGTGGGGTCGTTAATCCAGGCATGGGCGTGGGAGTGATCCTCGATGGATCAATTTGAGGTTCCTCTGTTGGATTCAGCCCATTCGTCAAGACTGAAAAAAAAATCATAATCAAAGTAGGTACACATGACTAAGTTCTTTGTAATCTTCTCTTCTACCACAAGGTAATCCTGCAGAAGACACGTCATTGTAAAATATTTTAAATTTACTTACGTTTAAAAACTAATACAATTGGTCCGTAGGGCCATATAGAAGACAATAGGGCAATAGAGCCAACTGTTGATGTAGGGCCATATATAGCTGACAATAGGGCCATAGCTGGGCCAGAGGGGAAGGGAGAGTGAAAGGGGGGGGGGGGCGGAGTGTTAGGGGGATGAAGGGGCTTTGACCTAGAATTATTTAAGAATATATTTCTGTTTAAAATCAAGTAGAATTTGTGGTGTTAGCCAGTATGTACAGACTAACATAGGGGTGTGGTGTGTACAGAATGGGTAACATAAGGGTGTGGTGTGTACAGACTGGGTAACATAGGGGTGTGGTGTGTACAGACTGGGTAACATAGGGGTGTGGTGTGTACAGACTGGGTAACATAGGGGTGTGGTGTGTACAGACTAACATAGGGGTGTAGTGTGTACAGACTAACATAGGGGTGTGGTGAGTACAGACTTACATAGGGGTGTGGTGTGTACAGACTGGGTAACATAGGGGTGTGGTGTGTACAGACTGGGTAACATAGGGGTGTAGTGTGTACAGACTGTGTAACATAGGGGTGTGGTGTGTACAGACTGGGTAATATAGGGGTGCGGTGTGTACAGACTAACATAGGGGTGTGGTGTGTACAGACTGGGTAACATAGGGGTGTGGTGTGTACAGAATGGGTAACATACGGGTGTGGTGTGTACAGACTGGGTAACATAGTGGTGTGGTGTGTACAGACTGGGTAACATAAGGGTGTGGTGTGTACATATTAACATAGGGGTGTGGTGTGTACAGACTAACATAGGGGTGTGTTGTGTACAGACTAACATAGGGGTGTGGTGTGTACAGACTGGGTAACATAGGGGTGTGGTGTGTACAGACTGGGTAACATAGGGGTGTGGTGTGTACAGACTGGGTAACATAGGGGTGTGGTGTGAACAGACTAACATAGGGGTGTGGTGTGTACAGACTGGGTAACATAGGGGTGTGGTGTGTACAGACTGGGTAACATACGGGTGTGGTGTGTACAGACTAACATAGGGGTGTGGTGTGTACAGACTGGGTAACATATGGGTGTGGTGTGTACAGACTGGGTAACATATGGGTGTGGTGTGTACAGACTGGGTAACATATGAGTGTGGTGTGTACAGACTAACATAGAATGTGGTGTGTACATACTAACATAGGGGTGTGATGTGTACATAATGGATAACATAGGGGTGTGGTGTGTACAGACTAACATAGGGGAGTGGTGTGTACAGACTAACATAGGTGTGTGGTGTGTACAGACTGTGAAACATAGGGGTATGGTGTGTACAGACTGGGTAACATAGGGGTGTGGTGTTTACAGAGTGGGTAACATAGGGGTGTGGTGTGTACACACTGTGAAAAATAGGGGTGTGGTGTGTACAGACTGGGTAACATAGGGGTGTGGTGTGTACAGACTGGGTAACATAGGGGTGTGGTGTGTACAGACTGGGTAACATAGGGGTGTGGTGTGTACAGACTTGGTAACATAGGGGTGTGGTGTGTACAGACTAACATAGGGGTGTGGTGTGTACAGACTAACATAGGGGTGTGGTGTGTAAAGACTGGGTAACATATGGGTGTGGTGTGTACAGACTAACATAGAATGTGGTGTGTACAGACTGGGTAACATAGGGGTGTGGTGTGTACAGACTGGGTAACATATGGGTGTGGTGTGTACAGACTGTGTAACATAGGGGTGTGGTGTGTACAGACTGGGTAATATAGGGGTGCGGTGTGTACAGACTAACATAGGGGTGTGGTGTGTACAGACTGGGTAACATAGGGGTGTGGTGTGTACAGACTGGGTAACATACGGGTGTGGTGTGTACAGACTGGGTAACATAGTGGTGTGGTGTGTACAGACTGGGTAACATAAGGGTGTGGTGTGTACATATTAACATAGGGGTGTGTTGTGTACAGACTAACATAGGGGTGTGGTGTGTACAGACTGGGTAACATAGGGGTGTGGTGTGTACAGACTGGGTAACATAGGGGTGTGGTGTGTACAGACTGGGTAACATAGGGGTGTGGTGTGTACAGACTGGGTAACATAGGGGTGTGGTGTGTACAGACTGGGTAACATAGGGGTGTGGTGTGTACAGACTGTGTGACATAAGGGTGTGGTGTGTACAGACTGGGTAACATAGGGGTGTGGTGTGTACAGACTGGGTAACATAGGGGTGTGGTGTGTACAGACTAACATAGGGGTGTGGTGTGTACAGACTGGGTAACATAGGGGTGTGGTGTGTACAGACTGGGTAACATACGGGTGTGGTGTTGTGACCTACTTAGGTCGAGTCATTTTTATTTTGACATTGTATAATTCCTTATATGGAATGATGGTGTAACACCTGGGGTTTTTCCACTGACTTATTAAGGTGTTTGAGACATAGAAATTTTCCATTAAATTCTGATTGAATGATTCTGATCAGATGATTATCCCAACCAATGGCGACATGAGTTGAGGATAACCTCCCCTGTCACAGAAGTCTTTAATTGCACTGCACACTCGCAACACGAGGCAGTTTTTTCTTGACCTGGCAGTCTACGAGGCCGTTTTACCTCGTTCAGGCAGCCGTCCATATTGTCCGGCTATAGACTCTGACCATTTGAACGTGAGAGTACTTAAGACCTGTGTGTGCCTTGCTTTCTTCAGTTGATTTAGTCTTCTAGTTTAATATTACTTGTCGCTAAGTAAGTCTTGAAGCTACAGCAGTGCTGTGTGGCCTGTAGCTGTTCTTTAGACAGTGGAGAAATCTGTGATAGTGTTTTTTTCCTGCATTTTGTAAGTTGGGTTTTTGATATTTTATACATTAAATATTTTATCTAGTTCATCTTCGTGTTCTGCCTCAACTGAGTTCGCTGATTAAAAGGTCGTATGTAGATTGGATGAGTGTTAATTACAATAGTATCACTAGCTTCCCTAGACATTAAATTCGAGCCCTAGTGGTCGTTGTGTTAAGTGTTCATCCACTTAGGCCGTAAGGCATTTGCATATGACCCCGAAAAAAGAATCCGGGGACGTTCTCCTTCTATTTGGCTGATAGATAGGTTAACGTTACAAAGTGGGGGCCCGTCCGGGATTTAATCTGTCGTTCCAGTTGTTGGTTATATCAGTTGAATACTAAGGTTAGTTGGATTTAGTTGTTTTATAGCCAGTAGCGCAGTGTTCTTACAACGCGCGCTCAGGCTAGAGTATCTAGGTCAAAATAGCCAGACGTGTTGTCCTACATTTAGAGGTCAAGTACACGGCCCAACGCTGTGTATTAATTTAAAGAATCTAGGCTTGTTGTGATTTTCAAGTTAGAGTTATGGAGTCTTTTTTGGCTAATCCTACTGTTGAAGATGTAGAAAAGTTGAGTAGAAAAGTTTTGGTTAGTGTTGTTAAGGAATTGAAATTGGATTATTCTGTTACGCAGAAGTCAGAGGTGTTGAGAGATAAAATTGTTGTTCATTTCATTAATGAAGGAGTATTTGATGAAAGTTTGTTAGCTAGTGTGTTGCTCCGCGAGGAGAAATCTATAGAAGAGAGGGAGCTTCTATTAAAAGAAAAGGAGTTTGAAACTAAAAGTGCTCTAGAGAAACAGGAGTTAGAGGCTAAAATTGCTTTAGATAAGAGGAGGTTGGAATTAGAGTTTGGTCAAGTTAGTGATGTCACTTCTCAGGTAGATCCAAAAAAGTTGTCGGTAGGGCAAGTGATTGCCAAATTTGGGAAATTAGTTCCGAAATTTGATGAAACAGATTTGGTCGTTTTCTTTAACTCGTTTGAGAGTTTAGCGAAGACATGTGAATGGCCCGAAACTTCCATTACTGCTTTATTGAGCTCTGTCCTTACTGGGAAAGCTGCAAAAACATACCAGGCACTCTCTCACGACGTTCAAAATAACTATAGTTTGGTCAAGACTGCCATTTTAAAGGCCTACGCACTGACGCCCGAGGCCTATCGGACAAAATTCCGAACACTCCGCAAGTTACCCACACAATCATATGCGGAATTTCTCTTTGAAAAGGAGAAAATATTCTCAAGGTGGCTACACTCTGAGGAAGTTTCTGAGTTTGAGAAACTCAGGTCACTTATCCTAAGGGAAGAATTCCTATCGTCCCTGCCTGAAGAGATACGACTACACATTCTGGATAACAAGATAACTGACATCCAGAAGGCTGCTGAGTCGGCTGACACATATATGTTGGTGCATAAGAAACCACCAGTGTCAGGAAACCGCCTCAACCCCGTGCTTCCCCTTTTTGGCAGCAATCATCCTGTTGGCCAACATTTGAAGGCATCACAGTCCAGAGAGAAACCAAGATCAACTTTCAATCGTCGAGCAGTATGCCAGTTCTGCAAAAGGCCTGGTCATCTTGTCAAGGACTGTTACAAACGTCGTCAATATAACAGAGAGGTGGTGCGTACTTCCGCGCACTATGCTCTATCCCCTCAAGCAGCCAGTTCAACTATGAACTCTAGAATTCAAAAGGACTCTAACCCTAAGTGTCCGCAAGAAGGTAGTCAAGTCTCCACACATTATGTGCAGTCACATTTTGACTGTTCTCGCCACCATCCAGTTTCTTCCGAGTCTACCGATCTCGAGGGATCGAGAAAAGTTGACTTTTCATCTTTTATTGCCGAAGCCATCATTAGCAAACCAGGTGATCCGATGTCTCAGCGGAATATCACCGTCCTCAGAGACACAGGAGCGTCACAATCACTCCTTTTGAAAAGTTCAATGGACATTACACCTGAGACGAACACCGGAAGGATTTCCATTATCCAGGGAGTGGGGACAAAATCTACTGTCGTCCCTCTACACAAGTTTGCCCTGAAACATCATCTCGTCGAAGGTGAGGTCATTTTAGGTGTGATAGAT